ACTCCCACTATCAGTTAAATTGGTCTAGACTTGTAGTGGTTCTCAACCTATGGGCAGCAACCTCTTTGAGGGCTGAACATCTCTTTCATGGGGGTTGTATATCAGATATCCTGCATATCAGATATCTACATTATGACTCATAATGGTAACAAAAATACAGTTATGAAATAGCAACAAAATAATTTTGTGGTTGGGGGGGTCACCACAACATGAGAGACTGTATTAAAGGGTTACAGCATTAGGAAGGTTGAAAACCATTGTTGTATAAGTTGCCTTAGTCACAGTGTCTATTCATAGCATAGAATAGTAACTAAGACACTATCTATCTGCTTGCTATCTATCACCAAAATATTCATCTATTCATCCACCCACCCCCATCTAAGTATACCCACAGATGGTGGTTTATAAACACCAGAACTGGTATGTCTAGCTTTGTCTAAGCATTAGCAAATCTTTCTACTGATCATGGCAATTTTATTCTCTAACCTAACAAAACAGAGGCTGCAAGAAAAGATTCTGATGTCATATGACCTTAAGTCTGACACCCAACCACTGCCCTTCTGGGACCTTGGGCAAGCTATCTGACTTTTAAGAGCCTTAAGTGCCTCATTTGGAAACTGAATCTAATAATAGTGTGATTGGTAATATGAATGACAATAATGATTCCAGGCCACTAACCAAATTTAAAGTGTTTTGTTGTTTTACTTTTTTATTTATAAGTCATCTGATTCCCAGGTACGTCTATCCAGAGACCAGATTAGTGGTCATCACTGCCAAGAAGAGCTTACTTGAGACATCTACAGGAGCAATGTGCTACAGAGAAATCTGACACCAAAGACTTGGACATTACTCATTCCTTCATGATATTAATCTGAATATTAAGTAGAGAATCCTACTGCTGCCAGCAGATGCAAAGTTCCACCATGTGCTGATGGTAGAGGGCATAAGATGACCCTCAATGACCAGCTGACACATCTCCCCCAACACTACATAACTGTGTGAAGAAAGATATACCAGGCCATGAATGAGGACTTCTGTAATTCTTATCAAGGAATGTGGGATGCAGGAAGTAAGTGGGTATATTGGTGGCCTGGGATCCTGATCAACCTGGACTGTCTGCAAAGCCATATTGTACATGTGTGATGTAAGGATATGGTTCATTGTGATGTCCAACACACACACCTGGGGTCCTGGACTCTAAGACACAGCAGACAATGCCATTGGGAGCAGAAAAGGCATTACGAGGGGAAAAGGGAACCTAGCCAGGGCTCAGAATTCATATAAATGCTGCCTCTGCAGGGTAAGCTCTTCCAAGGCCTTTACACCTGCCATCTTGCTCATGGCACATGAGTAACATTTAGGACATTACTTTTTCCCCCAGAAAACCTAGCTTATCCTTTATGTCTGACCGGCTTCATAGAGGGTAGCTGGGCAGAATCCCATTGTATATCTCGTGATGAGCTGAGGCCCAGTACCAAGTCACATATGGCCTTGGGACAAGTTACAAAAAATCATTTGTACTTTGTTTGGGTGTCTAATGCTGTGTGTGTATGTATAGAGGCTGGTGGCCAACTTGAGAGTCTCTCATTGGTCTAAAGCTCATAAGTAATATATGCTGGCTGGCCAATGAGCTCCAGGGACCCAACTATCTTTGCCTTCCAAGTCCTGGGATTACAAGAATACTGCAATGTCTAGATTTATATTCCTAATGTGGGCTCTGGAGCAAACCCTTTACCAAGTGATTGTATAATGCCTCTTTAACATGAGAAGTCTGAAGTCATAAAGACAATATCCTACATCTCCCACCACCCCAAAGACTGTGAACCAGATGAGACTGATGGGGGCATTGCTGAGGACAAATGGAACCCTTCCCCAGAGCTGTGTGCTATTGATGTACCATCACAGTGAGGCTCTGGTCCCTGGAGCATACAGAACCTTATGAGTGGCCACTATGTAGGGGCTCTGCCCCCTTGTGATGTGCTTTCCAAAGCTATAAGCTATGGGCACCCACCATTCTTCCCACAAAGGTTCAGAGGAGCTGACTAGATGAATTCCAGAGCGAAGGGCATGATGAGATGGCCAAGTGCAGGGGAGGAGACTTGGCTTCTGGACATGGACTGCTTGTCCACAGCTTTCCTGAGCAGAACAAGTTGCCTTCAGGGGGAGGTTGGGCAAAGAGAGGAGAGCTATCGCTCCACAGTCCACCTCACAACCCACCCTGGGAGTTATCTTATCATCCAGCATAGACAGGGAGGCAGATACTTCCCAAAGTGGGACACATAACATCTGGGAATTCACAGAAATGGTTGTGGAGGATACCCAAGCAGTGCTTTAATTTTATTTTTATAATTTAGAATTTACTCAATAGAATACAAATATATGTATGTAGACGTGTATGTGTGTAGATACACATTCACACCTGCATATACACAGGCATAGCACTTCAAAGTTGTGATTTCACTAACAGTACTGATGATACAATGTCTTTAAACTTTGACACCACTGGAACCTTGCATAGGATCTTTCCAACTGTGGGAAATAATTACTTCCCACCTGGAAGCCATGAGTCAACCTCAGATACTGTTCCCCCGGTGCCTTTTATTTTGTTTGTTTGTTTGTTTGTTTGTTTTTAAGACAAGGTTTCTCTGTGTAACAGTCTGGCTGTCCTGAAAACTCACTTTGTAGACCAGTCTGGCCTCGAATTCTATGAGATTAGCCTGCCTCTGCCTCTCAATTGTTGGACCACCACCATCCAGCATTTTTTTGTTTTTGATTTTTGTTTGTTTGCTTAAGACAGAACCTCTCATTTGCCTGAAGCTTGTGACACACTGTCTGCTTATATATTAAGAAATCTCAACCCCACCACCAATGGATAAACTGGTGTCCCCCCTCCCCCGCCATGAGACAACCCTAAGTGTCTTCATGACTTTTGCAAACATCCTTCGAGCATTAAAATTATGCCCAGATTGAGAACAACTAGCTTAGTATGGTTTTAGAGCCCAGTGAATTCTGTTAAGGAAAAAACAATCTATTAGGTGAGTTAATTTGACAGGTAAAATTCACTCACAGAGACATTGAGTGAATTTACTCTATGCACATTCTAAAGGGATGTGCAAAGAATGAGCAAAAGCAGAAGAGGACATGAGATCCTTCTCCTCCTCAGAGATGAACCATCTGCCCTGCTCTGCCATCCCTGGGGCCTGCTCCTCCCTAGGGCAACTATACTGATGTACACCTCGGGACAGGATGACAGACAAGCACAGAGAACCAGTCAGGCCACCTTGAAGCAAGGTGGGTTTGTGATTCTCTACAGTCTCACTGGGAAGACTCAAGCAGAGATGCTGCTGAGTGGCCAGGACCGAGGGCTGGGAGAAGGCAGGAAAAGGCAGGTGGCATTTACCAGCATGCTGCAGAAATCCCCCAAAGGGCTGTTACTCATCCATGAAATGTTCAATATGTTTTACTGTGTCTGACACCTGGAAAGAGCTCTCTCTGGGGCTCCAAAGGGGGTCCATCCTGTCTTCCTTTTCTCTTCACTGTCTAACCAAGCCATGGAGCTAAGGAGACCATCGATTCAGACACGAACCACCTTCAATGGCAGTAGGAAAGTCTGTAGTGCTGTGGTATAAATGCTTACACAAACTCCTCATGCACCTCTGATGTTCTGATTATTTTCTGTGACCTTCACTAGCACTCTGCCAGGTGGCATTTTCTAGATGGAGAAAGAATGACAGCCTCACCAATGCCACAAGGTGAGAAGACACAGAACTGTATTCTACCTGGGTCTCAGTGGCTCTGAGGCAGGTACTCACAAAGATGACAAGACCCCATGGGTCATCAGCCCCACACAGAAACACCATTGCTATCTAGATCATTCAGGATGTTCCAGTACCCAAGCAGACAGAAAGTGCAATTTCCTATTGCAGTATCATTGAAGGCCCATTAAAGGAAAGGTGTTGCCTGACAGCCAAAAATTGGACTATCTCTGAGGGGAGACCTGCCACTGTCTGATCCCTTAAGAGTTAATCCAGTTGGGATGGCCAATTACCTGGCCAAAGGACCACCCTTCCAAAAGGCAAATTACCTTAAGCCGTGCTAAAGTGATAGGGGGAATACCTAGCCCTTTATTAAGATAATGGGCTTTTTTCTTCCCAGATTTTCTGCCCCTTAGGTAGCAGTCCCTACAAGCTACCATGCAGTTCCTTTGGGTCTGCCCACCTTTCTCAGTCAGGACTCAGAACTATGTTACTCCCCCTCTTTCTTCTGTCCTGTCTCCTTTCTCCGGGTGTCAACTGGAGCCCAAACACTCTTTCTCTGTTACTTTTTTTTTTCACTCTTTGTCGCACATTCCCTATTGTGTGACTTGCTTGTCCACATGTGGCTGACTTCCATGCTGGCTTACCTCAGAAGGCATGTCCCTTTCTCTTCTCTGTTTCTCTCCTCAGGGCAGCTACCAAGCTTGTCTTCCTGAGGGCTTTCTTTTAAAGTCTAATAAACTTGTTTCCAAGCCTCTATTTGAGTCCATTCTTAAATTCTTTCTGTTAACAAAACTAAGAATCCCAAGACGGACCCCAATTTCTCTCGCAGCACTGGGAGACTCTAGCATGACTGCCAGCGTTTCCAGTAGCATTGTGCACCAACCACCAGGGACAGTGTCTGTCAAGTCCAGAGCAGTGGAACAGTACCATCTATAACTGGACATTCCCCTGTCTCTGCTCTCCCTTTGCAGTCACCCACTTGGGATCACTGGGTGGGGGATGCCTTCAGTGACCTGCCTGTGAATATGTGTATGTATGCAGAATTCCACACATGTATGCACAATCAGCCAGCATGGTTGCACCTGGCTGTGCACACCACACTCACAAGTCACACAAATGGGGCAGTAGGGCATCATGGCGATATGCCTGTTTGTCCCTTCTGAGTCTACAGAGACTGCCACAGGCACTGGTCACAGAACCTCAAGGTAAAGATAAGTGGCAAAGACCATGAAAGGTACTCACCTGGGTCTCCAGGGTGACCAGTGGACTTGGGTGTAGATCCTGTGGGGAGAAAGGAGAAAACACTCATAAATGGTGAGATGAGGAAAGTTTCCAACCTGAACATCGCTTTCAACCCTGTTTGATATCCCAGTTGGGTGGGGCCAGCAGACTCTGTCTTCTCCATTCTCTGAGGATGCCAGAACTTGAGCCAGTCTGCCCCCTGCTGAATCCCAGCACCCCTTTCCATATCTAAGCAATGAGAAAGCAGATTGCCCATAATATCTGTGAAACAATGAGGTGCCAAGAAGAGGGGTGAGAAGAAGCTCAGTTGGTAAAGTGCTTGTTCCACAACTGTGAGGACCCTGTTAGAGCACTGGCATAAAAAGCTAGGAAGGGGTACAGTAACCGGCAGACCCCTGGGGCTCACTGCCAGCCAGCCTAACCTACTTGGTGCCTCTGGGCCAGTGAGAGACTGTCACAAAGAAAGAGTGGATGGATCCTGAGGAATGATACCTGAGTTTGTCCTCTGACACCCACACATTTGTATCAGCACACACATGCACCATGTACCTACAAGGTATGCATAAGAACATGTACACACACACACACACACACACACACACACACACACACACACCATACACACATGAAAAAGAAAAAGCACCTTTTCCATCCATACATCTCCAGTGTGTTCGGTGCCCACACACACACACACACCATACACACATGAAAAAGAAAAAGCACCTTTTCTAACAATACATCTCCAGTGTGTTCGGTGCCCCCCCCATGTGAAAGAGACTTGGGTCCATAAGAGAATTAGACATTAAATACAAAGTTCTGGTTCATAACAAGGTTGTGAGATTATGTCTAATATTGCAAGAATAAAGGAGGAGAGAAAGATAGAAAAGGAGGAGCTGAGTCCTGTGTGAGTAGCACATTCCAGCAAGCCAGGAAAGATCTTTTCAGGCCAGAGAAACATCCCATTCACTCAGCCTTTACAAAAGCCAATTGACTGGGGATGCTGGGTGGTAAAGTCTGGGGTCACTAAGCATGAATTCTGGGCTGGGGGAGGGACAGATGGAGGAGACAAGGACTAATGAGAGGTGATGGCATTCCTTCCTCCAGTGGTTTCCGAGGAAAACAGGAAATCCAGCACATAAAGGCTATTTCTGTCTACACCGTGTCTGCTCGGAACTTAACCATCATATGTGTTCATGATTCTGGGAAAACCAACTTTGGCTGCCTCGACAGAGAATGGCCAGGCTTGTAAGGCCCTGGGTAGAAATTCTGTTCTATGCTTGGCTCTATCAAAACAGATTTTTCCAATACAGGCTTCTGAGAATCCATGCAAATTGGCACCAGGCTACCCTTCTTCAAGTACTATGAGTAAAGAAATGACAACTTGTTTTCTGAGAGAGGAGGGAGGGAGGGAGGGAGGGAGAGAGAGAGAGATTGAACATAGGGCCTCATCATTTTACCACCCCTCTCTTTGGTTTGCATTTTGAGGTAGGGTCTCAGTAAATTGCTTGGGTTGGCCTGCTGGAACTCACTGTATTCCAGGTTGGTCTTGAATTTGTATTCCTCTTGCCTCGGTTTTCTAATTGCTGGGCCCACAGTCATGCATCATCAGGCCTGATTCCACTTGCATCCCTTAAACATTTTTAATACTATATTTTTTCTGACACAAGGTCTTTCTGTGTAGCCCAAGTTGGCCTGATACTTGCTATGCTGCCCAGGCTAAACTCAAACCCATGGCCATTCTCTTATTGGGATTAGAGGCACACACTACCAGACCACCCCACTTGCTTTCTTGATCACTATTTGGCAATTATCTTCCTTGTGGCAGATTTGAGGTATAGCCTCAGGCACATTTTGACCTCAAGACTTTCCTTGAAGGTGAAGAATTTATCTTCCCCAATTCCAGGTTCTGAGTCCAAGTTCCAGCACTTTCCTGGCACAGCTCAGGGACGTTGCCAAGGAGACACCTCACTCTCTCTGGTTTTCATACCAGCTGGGCACAGTTAGTCTTCACACCCAGGAAAACACTAAGGGACACTTTTCCTTCACTCTGCCACACTGCAAACTGACCCACAAGGAACTGATGAGGGGTCTTAGAGAAACAGCTTAGGCCATCCCAGCATAGCTTCTCCTGCCCTTTTCCCAGGAGAGCATTCAGCTATGACCCACCAGAACTCAGTATTTACTGAACTACTTAGTGTTGGGGCCCAGTCTCACTATTCTACCTAACCTTACGGAGGCCCCTCTAGCCACACAACTTATTATTTGTATGATCAGTGGTGTGTAATGCTGGAGAGCTGAGCCTGGCTCCCTGTTGAGCGGCCACATGGGGCAGGACCCAGTTTACTCCTCCAGATACAGATTCATCCTCTCCATCTGTGGATGGTAGCAGACTCTGGGAGCAGCAGATCCTGTGTAGCAGACCCTGTTTGATCCCACTGTGAGAGCACACAGCTCCTTCTCCGTGCCACCATCAGCCTGAGCCTGCTGATCTATTCTAACTGTCCCTCTGCCCATATTCATCAAGATTTAAGTCCGGACAGAAGAAGCTGTAGCTCAGTCTCAAAATTAGCCACCTTCTCCAAAGCCAAATCCTAGCTAGTGCTGCACGGGGCATTGGGTGAATGCCCAGACTAATTAAGTCGTGCTTCACGGCCCATTTGGCTATTGTGTGGGGCTTATGCTTCGTTGCTCAGAATCCCAAGACAGGGAAGAAGGGGAATGCTATCCTGAACCCCTAAGAACAACTTCACTGGGAAAGACCTTCCTTGGAAAGCCAAGGAAAATCTCTGCCAACTATGTGGATGATACCAAGTGACTGGTCCCTTGACACAGTACAGCATCTACTCTTTATCTGGAGTTCCAAAATCACAGACCCTGTCACACACAGTCAGGAGTCTAAGGTTTATTTCAAAAGCTTCTGAGAGAGGGAGCACAAAGGGTCCTTATTTAGCATCTTAATTAACTGGCCAGGAAGAGGATGAAGCACTCACAAGGGGCCTGTATCATTAACACTAGGCTATTCTCATGCCAACCACACCACTTCTTCTCCCTGGGTGCACACTGGAAATGTGAGACTCTCCCTAACCAGCTGGGTCCTGAGGATTCAAGGTATGACTGCATATCTGTGAGGTCTCACTCACAGTAACAACCTCCTTAATTGGAAAGGCTAACGAAGTGGAACTGGGTCAATGATGCCGTCTGCCTAATCCATCGTGTCTGTCTAAATTGGGACTCTTAGTTTACAGTAGAGTAAATTCCTGTCTGTCAGAGAGAAGGCTTCAGGAGACCAAAGGGGAATTTGCAACGTGCTTGCCTGATCCAGTGGGGTGCTTCTGGAATTGTAATGAGGATACAGGACCACAGAACCTCCTATGCTAAGGAATGCCCTTAAGGCACCTACTGCAAAGACAAGTTGGAGAAGGCAACTGGAGAATGGAGGAAAGTGAATTAATGACCCTCATTCCTTACTGCTCCCTAGAGACACACTCTGTGGTCGTGGGAATATAGCCCAACTTGGAGAAAGCCATCTTGCACTTTGATGCTCATGTCTTCTACCAGAGACATACATTCAGCAATAAGCATTACCATCTCATCAAACACCAGAACACGCCCCCCCCAGACACACACACACACACACACACACACACACACACACACACGAGTATCTGTATGAATGGTGTTTTTAGATTGTAAACACCATGTAGAGAAATGAACATAGGTGCCATGACTGAAATAAAGCTAGATCTCTGCCACAGAGGGAACTTGAGGAGCTAGCTACATAAGGCCACATGTGCTTTCTGAGTTCTGTGCCTCTGCTCACCACAAGGAAGCCAGGAACAAATCAGAGAGATTCTGTGTACACTTGCTAACTGTTCAATCAGAGGAGAGTCGGATTGCAGTCTTGGAGAAATGAAACTCATCTGCCCATTACAAGTCTTAATCCTAAGAGCAGGAAGCTGAACACAAACGTTGTCTAGTCCATGGAGAAAGACCACAGGTCAGATTCTAACAAGCAATTGAACTTCAGGAGAGAGCAGGGAGAGGAAGGTGTGCCTTAGAACCCCCAGTCTGCTCCAGGCATTTCTGAGCTTTTTGTTTTGCTCTAAGGCCATCACAGGCAGTTTGTTATTGGATATTAGGCAATGGCTTGGGGTGGAGGTGACAATGACTCATGCCTTCCACACAAGACCTATGAAGTCAATAGGCCCTTACAGTACACCCTGTGTCTCAGCCATTCCCATGAGATGTGTCTGAAGAGTAGCTCTCTGTCACTGTGAACCCTATGACTGTGGGTTGAACTGAATAACCTTCTACCATGGAGACGTGCTTTAATTGGGGACAGAGCTCAGCTGGTACAGTACTTACCATCATACATAAAGCCCTGGGTTTGACCATCAGCACCATACAACCTAGCTGTGAAGTTACATGCCTGCAATCCCAGGAAGCTAAAGGAAGACTGGAAGTTTGGTCAAGGTCATCCTCAGATAGATAGTGAGTTCAAGGCCAGCCTGAGCTACATAGGATCTTGTCTCAAAAAGGAAATAAAAAAAGTGCCTTTAATTTAGTTATCCAGCACCAGAGACCTGTGCAGATCCCAGAACTCTTCATGGGATCACAGATAGAGAAGGACTAAGCACTTCACCCCCAAATATCCCAACATTCCAGAGACATGGGCTTGCCAGAGGCCACCAGGTAGAAGCTGAGTTTGGATACCAAGTCAGAAGCTCTCCGTATTACTTTCCTCATTGCTGTGACAAAATACCCAGCAGAAGCAATGGAGGGAGGAGGATATCTCGTGGCTCGGGGTGTTCTGTGAGAAGACAGGAAGGCACAGTGGAGTTCATGGAAACAGAGACTTGTGGGTGTGACTCCTTGCATCTTGGTGGACCAGAAGCTACATTTTTCGCTAGAAGTAGGGTAGGAAATAAGCCCCACCACCACTGCCTCCCTCACCAGCAATCCACTTCTTTCAGTTAGGCTCTGCCTCCAGAAAGTTTCTCAACCCCACAAAACATTACCACCCCTGGGGATTAAGTCTT